ATCCAGTTTTCTCATATTTCTCTCTGCTCTTCAAACCCTTATGACAAACATTTCTCCTTATGTTCTCCATTAGTATCGCGATCCACCCAAGCAATGGGCTAGAGAGAGAGCAGGCATTTCAGTTTGTCTCCCTGCATATCTCCTTTTCTGTCGGCCTAATTGCCTTCTCAATGCTTGTCACCCCTGCTGTGCCACATCTGTCTGTCTATCCTGTCTGACCGTCTGTCTAAACGGCTCCTACTTTCTTACTGCCAACAAGTTTTTGGGAACTCCTTATCCCCACCGGATGTGCTTGCGTTGGGTTCTGGTTGCATTTCAGTTACCAGAGCTGATCACTTTCCACCTAGAGCTTCAATTTCCATCAGACACATGAGCTGTGAGCCTCACTTGCAGTTCAGGTGCCGCTCTTCTCCTTACTTCAGTTTGCGCCTCTGACATCACTTGTCAATGTAAATACTGTAAATCCATTTTCATTTACAGCTGAAATAAAATAAAATATTGTTAATACATGTCACAATAGGATAATGAGTGTAACTAATTTCAGACTGCACATAACATACTACTTTTATTTTGATTTCTTTAAAGTACAGGCAGTTGCTTTAAGTTGCCAAAATTATAGGAGACAAACACATATCTCCAATTTTAGTGATTTATATTTGAGTCCAGAAAATTCTCCTATTTTTAAAGTATAAATAACCATTAAAAACCAATTAGATAATATGAAAAACAAAATCGTCACAAAGCAGAAAAATTTGTTTTGTGTTGCCAATCTTTTTGTAGTGGGTATTTTTCTTTTCAGAGTGAATTATTAGCAAGGACAAACGCTTGAAGACATGGAACCTCTGCAACATTTCTGGTTGACACTGTGGTGGACATGTAACAAAGCCGTGACACAACCAAGCCACTTCCATCACACATCCTGGGTAAGCCCCTTAGTGGGTGGGTGCCTCTGGAAGGCTTTACTGTCCCTCCTTTTGCCCTTCACCTCATTGATTTGCTATTATACTTTCTCCAAGGTAAGGGAGAGTCCATTAAAGGGAACCTTCTATGCAGTGTGTATGTATAATGAAGCTTCCAGTATGTATGTGCATCTGGATGTGTGCACGTGCGTGTGGGAAGCGGATGAAAACCTTTCCCCTTACATCTGCACTTGTATGGCCATGAATCAGTGGCAAGTCAACTGTTAATGTAAAATCAATGATCCAAATTAACCACAGGACCCTCAACTCTGGTTTTTCAGCTCTTTTCTGGACAGGACTTACCCTTGGGCTGAGTGAGGGAGAACACACATGCTGCAGTATCGAACGCTATAGCACGCCCACCTGCACTCATCCACACACACACACACACACACACACAGTGGACAGGAACACATGCAAACACACAGAAAGGATCCATGCATTTTGCAGACACGAGCCTGCACACATAATTTAGCCAACTGTCTCCTCACAGAGAACATAAAAAAACAAACATGCACCGGCTCATTCGCATAATGCATGCATAACGCACCACACAGTGAAAGAGCACAGCTTGGTCTCCTTGTCTAATTCGCATAGTGCTGCATCTATTAAAATTAAGCCAAGGTATCCAGCTTAAGGCTGCCGCTGATAAGGTCAAAGGCGTAGCGAACATTCCAACACTCATTTCTCCCCCAACATAATCGCACTCACTCTTGACAAAAATCTGCATAATGTTCCATGTATAGCTGCTAGCCAGAATGAAAGAGGGAGGTGTGAGGACTGGTGGTGGGGGTGGGGGGACAGGCAGGGGGAATGGAGCCAGAGGCATATCCCTCAAAGTCAGAGCCAAATTGAATCTGCAGGTGCAAATGTGGCATGTGTGCTGCCTCTAAGATGCGCAGCTATCTATATTTATATGAATAATATATGGCTGGTCAAGGGGCCACAAGCCTGCAGGGAATAAGCTCCTACGGCAGACGGAATCAATCATTATATGCCACTGAAATGCATTTATCGCTGGCTTGGACCTCTTTATTATGATTTCATGGGGTTTGATATGGGCTTTCTCTTTCTCTTTTCATTCTCGGCTACTCTTCCTCAGCTAAAACAGATGAAAGATATGGTGTTTTCGAATGGCACAATGGCTTCGTATCTTTCCAGAGGCTTAGCAGTACAATGACAATTCGGCGGCGGTAATTGTTTTGTAATTTAAGTAAGTTAAGCGCATACCTCTATACATGTGTACAAGCATGCATCCATCTATAGTATACACGTATGTACCTGTACATGTATGCATATTCCCATGCATCAGTCACTGCAGTTTCATTAGTGCATGAAGACTTTGGTCTCCTGATACAGTATCACTCATTCACTCAGCTTTTCATTAGTGCACTGAGGGCCTATATGTATCAGCCTGAATGTAGAACAGATGGGCGGCACAGCAGTAGCCCTCAGATGTCCTCTCCTTCTTCTCTGCTCATGTTTGAAATTGCAATATGGACATATGTCCCTATCATGTCCATCTCTGATATGAATCTGCAGAATAGCAGACTAATTACCAATTAATAGCTTTGATTTTCTTTTTGTGAGCAACAATATCAGTATTGGTTTTTGTTTTCCAAATACCTGACATTTATCTATAATTATTCATTATAAGTTTCAATAAATCTTTTTGTTCAAGTGGTGTTCTGGCACGAAAGACTTTACCCACACACTTTGGAAGCGTGTGCTAGCTAAACACCAAAAACACAAACGTAAAAGCAAATGTCACTGGATACAAAGGAAGTGTCACATCCCATTTTGACATTTGATATGAAATGAAAAAAACACCAAAATGTCATGGATGCTGCCATCAAACCATGTTTTGATCCTCTTTGTTTTTGTTTCCCCTTTCTCTCTTTCTTTTGTCTCTTCTCATATAATTTGGGTCTGCTACAGTCCATCCACTAGATCCAAAAACAAACAAGCACACCACTCTCTTCCCCCCTGCTCCTTTTGCCCTCTGTCTGTGCTTATTCCATTTTAATGGGTGCCTGTGTTTGTTTGGGAGCAGGATGCTATCAGCGAGCCTATGCTTGGCTGCACAGGCTGATCCCCTGCAGCCGTCTTGTGAATATGTTTACATGCATTTCACTCAGGAGCCCTGATAGATCCTTGGGCATCTTGTTACCACCATTATGGGAAAAAAGAATCTTGTGATTAATTTGATTTCGATTGCGCAATTGTAGGCTTCCTGAACACCACTTTGAACCAATAGTAGCATTTGGCACCCATGCATCCTCTCACCTCACAGGAACCTGTCGTCCTCTGCCTATAGAGAAATTAATATGGAACCCCCACACTGTGCTGCCTATCATTCTCTCCAAACCTCGACAAGGCCACTGCAGGCACAATACCACTTCCACCCCCCCTTCCCACCTGCTTCTTACCGTTTCACACACAGATCAATAGGCAATTCGCAAAGCCACTCACTTTAAGCGTATGACTTGTTGTGGACATGTAATATTGATTTGTTTTGAACAAATGTGCCCAAATTAATGAAGAAGCCCATTACTCCTTTGCTTTATTGTTCTTATCACCATGGGGAGAAACTGTAACGTGGCTGTAATGTTATGATGCAAGCATATACTTGTGTTTGAGCTATTTGGGACTGTATTTTGCACGACATGGAATCTCAGCTGCAGGCTCACTTTTGAAAAGCTGGTGGCTGAATATAAGATATAAACAACCTTGGTTCAGTCTAAGTGGGAACAATACGTAGCGTGTAGGCTGAGGTTTTCTCAGCGTGGCATGGTGTCTGATGTGAGGGCATGATGGCTCTCATGTGGCATTTGACTGTGTTTCGTATTGAGCAGCTGCCTTGGGTGAGTCATTTGCACTGTGGAGGCCAAAATCTATTGTATCCATCACCGGAAACAAGCAAGCGGACACACACAGACTCACACACACACACACGCACGCACGCACGCACGCGCGCGCGCATGCATACACCGAACATGTCTGCACAGAAGATTACAGCAGTCAGATTCAATAGCCCCCTTGGTGAAAATCACATTTGTCATTATCAGCCATTATCTGTTTATCTGCCTTTGAAATATTCATGAGTAATACATCTGCTGGATGACATACATTTTGGACAGAGAAGAGAGGGTGTGAGAGATAAAATGGGAGGGGGTGAGGGAGAGAAAGAGAGGGTAGAGAGACGCCCCACTGCAGTTATGGGATTAGTGAATACCCCCCCACCCCCCCCCATAGCCGGATCCCTGGATGTGTGGGTGTACAGGCACAAGCAGGTGAAGTGATGATGGCGAATGCGCTCCTACATGCCTCTCGGTGGTTTTGTTAATTACGCAAAAGCCCTGGATGCAACGTGCCGATATGGCGTTGAAAGCAAAGACACCCCTCTTCACCATTGGGGGAGTGTGTGATAGTGTTATGGTTTTTTTTTTTTTGTTTGTTTTTTTTTTTAAAGCCCGAGGATGTGTAACGTACTTTGGTGGCATGTGTAGGTAACGACTTTTCTGTTTGCAACAGGAAGGTTTAACGGGGGGGGGCATTCTGTAGATTTCTTCGAGACGTGTCTGGTGTGCGCTCACTAAGCAGGACCGGGGGACATGAAACTGCCAGTCCATCACTCCATGCACACGCACACACAAACACAGACGCGCGCGCACGTGTCCGTTTTGTAATTTGTCTTTTTGCCCTGAACAGAGTCCTTTGAGAATCCGGTCTCTTTGAGGCGCATCCTGCATAGTTGCGCAAAAGCGCGACTCCACGTCAACTGAGGGTTCGAGGCCAGTCATCAGCAGAATTATCTTACAATATTTCCCCTAATTTCTGCAATCACGCGCGAGACATTAGTATGTGTGAAGCGAAATGACGTGTTAAGTCAACGGCGAGTCTGTATGTCTAGTAAAAAATCCCCGAATCACTGAATCCAGGCGTTTTTCATTAACTTGGAAAATGCGTTGCGCAGAAGCAACCATGCGATATGTATCAAATGACAGAAACATATTTGAGGAGTAAACAGAGTAAACTTACCCGATTTAACCATCATAGTCCTCGGACCAGTATGTGTTGTCTATATTCCCATCAAGCGCGCCGCTTCAGTGACGAGAGAGCCCCAGCGCGCCACATAAAGCCAGTCAACAATGTGTGGTCTTCTTATTTTCACGCAGTTGATGAGAAATCAGTTCTAGACTCTCTTCCACTGCAAAACACACGGCTTCTGCGTGAGGGGAGGGCAAAGCCAAACAGCGAAGTCCAAAAGCAGGCTGGCCAGAGTGTGGAGAGAGATTCATGTGTTCCCCGTGCCCTTCCCTTCCCGTCTTCACAGCGTCTGTTAAGGGCGCATCTCTCCCCTCGATCAAGTGTCAGGCGGACCACATAGATGCGCCGCCGTCTCCTCAGCAGTCATTAATATCAGAACAAACCCTGACTCTCCAGAGAACAGCCAATAGCGTCAGAGAAGCAGGCGAGGTGCTCGCAGCATCCCTGCTCTGGTTGGCTGAGAGGAGCCGTCAGTCATATCCCAGAAGCCTGTTCTCATCTATGTCTTCTTCTCTTGGTGGTGAGGCACGCTGCAAAAAATATCCATATTAACAAGTCAGTCAGCCTAGTCATGAGTCGTAAAATAGTGTTTAAAGTAAGAAACACAAATACAGGTGGATAAGATAGGCAGTGTTAACATATTAAAGTCTTAATATTTAAATAAAGGAATAAATAAAGGCACTCCACTGACATCCAAATGATGTCAGTTCAATGTAATAGGTTGAAGATGTTTATCTGCACTGTAGGGCTCTTTCACTTCCTAAGTCCTGTTGCCCACTAGCCAGCACCAGGCATGATGTCTGACCCGACACAGGCGGGTTGCTCAGTTTGACTTGTTTGTCTTGACTCACAAAATACTCCATAATTAACCCTTGCAATGTGGAAACTCATGTCTGCAAGTTCACCCCTGTTACCTGTTACCTAGTGGACTCTACACCTGGGATAAAATCAGGTTGCACCAACGTCACAACTACAGTCTTACTACACATGATGATACTTCATTTTGCTAACTAGTTACTTAATGCTTGGGGATGTGCTATTAGAAACTGTAGTCATGCAACATGTCATCCAATCACACAGAATCCATTAATGTAAACACAGACGTCACTGCAGCCTGACACGCTGCAAAAAAACATTAAAGACTGTTCCAAGTGATACAGGAGCCGTGATGGGAGATGTATCTTTTACAGAAATAGAAGTAACAATACTACACTGTAAAAAAACAAACAAAATACTCCATCAAAAGTGTAAGTCCTGCATTGACATTTTTAGCAATTAGCAAAATGTAATTCAAAGTATTAAAAGTAAAAGCGCTCATTGCAGAGAAGCTAGCTGTCTTTCAGAGTCAAGCTAAATCTGTTGATGTCTTAGCATCGACTGCACAGCTTCAGTTATATAAAGAAAGGAAATGACTATGTCCAAAGTTAAAGACGTGCTGTTAGACATATAAGAGTTCATAATTTACATTTACTTAATTTACATGTACTCTCTCTCCCTCTTTATGTGCAAATATTTTTCATTCTAAAAGTTTAACCACTAAACATAAGACTTCCCTAACTTCACCGTAAATTCTCAGTGTTTGGAGGTTTTAAGTTTCAACATTACACTTGTGTAAGCTGCATATTCGACCATGGCTGACTTCCAAATTAGTTGTGATGTCACAAAGTGCTGCTCGTACATAGGCGTGTTGAGTCAAGATTTAAGGTGAGGGCAGGGAAACCTTTCCTCCTTCGGCTAATGAGTGTGAAACAGCTTGTGAGGGTCAAACTCTGCACATACATCATTCTGCAGAACGAAGGACAAACACCGAAACGACATCACAATAAGCAGAACATTTTTGTGCGGAGGACTTTAATAAAACACACTCACATAAACACATAATGCTGCTGTCATCTTGTGTGTTTATCACCTGCAGTACACTGCAATCTTACTTTAACTACAGATGTGTTCATATTTTTTATGATATAAAGTTATTTTATCCATTTTCTACTATATTGTCCTGTTTGACTTATTTTTTATTTTAACAGAAACTTTATGTAAGGCAATTGAATTAAATATTATATTTTGATTTGCCACCACTTCTTGGCAGATTTACTAATCGCGTCAGCACAAGTGCACTGCTGCTGTGGTTCTTTCTGCAGTGGTTGGAGTTTAAAATCAGCGCAAACTGTGCCTGGCCAGCAGCCGCCACTTTCGGTGTGCGAGTACATTTGAGATGGACATTTTTTGCAGTGCAGGGCTATGAGGAAGAAGGCGGCAGGCAGGGAAGAAAATGGATATCTGTACCTATTAGCTCCAGAGCTCCCGACTCGGATCCCAGGAGGATTTCTAACACAATGTTCTACAAACTGATGGTCCTGGAGGTCGAGAAGGGTTATCCGCAGCCTCGAAGAAAGAGACATACCTCATCTGTCAGCCCAAAGGGTTCTGATCCAAAGACTGTACTACAGCAGGATGTTTTAACACCACCTGTGTCTGATTTCACCAGGTTTAAGTTTTAATATATACAACCTTCCCGTACATGATGTTCTTTTATCCACTGTGTTTGGTGTCACTCACATTTCTGTAAAGCCTCAGGGACATATGGGAGTTTTGCTGGATCATTATCACTATAAGTTCTCTTTCAAATCTCCAGTAGAAATTATTCAAATTTCATGTAAATTGCCCAAATTATTTATTTTGAAAGTTTACTCATAAATGGATGACCTTTATGAATAAATATAATGCCATGAGAATATTTAGACAGTTTCCTTTAATTGGATGCGGAGGATCCTGCCATGCCCCAGGTGCTGCTCACTCAAACTAGAGTAATTATGCAATTTTTCTAATACTTCCCATGCTTTCTCTTTCCTTTGCTTATTCTGCATTTATCATAATGCTAGTTAAGATTTGTGTGGGATTTGCCAGCCTTACCCCCCTGCCTGTGATAATAGGACAAACGGCCTTTCAAGAGAGCCCAGCAATGTGTAATGATAGTAACACAACCAGAAAGCTGTTTTAATTCAGTTCAGATATACTAGCAATAGCACGGAGAGTAGCTGCAGTTTGTCTGTTCTCATTTTGAATATGTTGGTATACAATGTGGTCAGGTTGAACCACATTTGGCTGATGTAGTGAAATATAATTCTGTTATTTCACACCATGATTATCTCAATCCAGAAATGTTTGAAAACAAGTACGTGGCTAAGCTGAAATGTCCGTGCTTTACACATTTATTGTACCGGCTGTCTGACAGCTTCACTAACAGGATGACAGGCTACCTGACAGGGTGACACATTTGTTTTCATCAGTATTTTTGTTATAAACGCACACACAGAATCCAGATTTAAAAATGATGAAACTGCAGTTTTCTTTTCCCAGTTAAAGAGGAGGAAGTCTCCATCTCTACATCCACCAAAGATTGTCCCAAACTGTACATCATTATCGCCCTATTTAAACATAGCTTGCCTCGTTCTTTAACAGCCGGCTTTTCATCCCCATAACGAATATTAACCACAGACAGGATGGGACGGATGTGAGCTCCAGTCTCTGGTGTGACATTCATGCGCTTCGTATATGTCCACTATCCACGCCAACCACCCCCATGGTGACTCCACTGCCATTCATAAATGTAGCACTTCCTCTGAATGAAATCCAGCCAGCAATTATGTTGCCACCACAATGTAACTGGAAAAGCAGTTAAGTAGTCTGTGAACATAAATTTCTAGTAGACGGAGGATTGAAGATCTGGGTGTGTCTGTCTGACACGATACTGTTTAAATATGATGATAGCTGCGTTAGATTTTGGGCAATGTTTGGCTTCTGAAAGCTACAGAAAGTATTTTGTGTGTATATATATATATATGTGTGTGTGTGTGTGTTTTTATATATTTATCACACTATTGCGTATGTGGACTGAAGCCCCTGACCTAAGCAAATGTGATTTGTTATTATAACATTTCATAAAGGAAATGAAACCCTATTTAAATTACAGATTACTAACAAACCCTGGTAGACATAACATTTTTTTTCATTTGGTTAACTGGTGACTCTAAATAGCCCTGTGATAGACTGGCGACCTGTATCTCGCCTCATGCTCAATGTCGGTTGGGATTGGCTCCAGCCCACCTGCTTATCTTTTGAGGATAACTAGCTAATGGATGGATTTTGGTCCCTATCCCTGTCCCATCAGTTGATTCTTTGATTCATTACTAGGTGAGAAGACTACGATATTATTATTCCTGTCTTCATGAAACTCTAGTCTCATTAACAAGAATGACATTTTATAGTTTTAAGATGAAGCCTAATATAATAGTGAATTTTTTTTCTTTTTTTGTATGCACACGGCAAGAAAGAGTCAGTGAACCCTTTGAAATGATTTTGTTTTCTGCATTGATTGGTCATAACCCTTGGATTTAATAACTGATCAAACCTCCTCTGGCAGCAATAACCTCAAACAAGTGCTTTCCGTAGCTGCAGATCAGACCTGCACAATGTTCAGGAATTTTGGACCATTCTTTCTTGACAATTTTATACATGCAACTCTAATTTATAGGTGTCTTTAACATCCTTACATTTTGAAGGTGATTATGCACACGTGTAACATTAGTACAAGTTTTGCACAGCTGAAAATTGCTTGAGGTGTGTATTCAAGTGTGGACTACAGGTAGTGGCAAAGACATGGAAAAACACTATTTAACCTTCTACACAGTGAATCCTGTCTTACACAAGATTCTGCAATGCTTGAAAAATACGCTGTGAATATTTAAAGTATCCAGGCCTGGCTTTACTGTTCCTGAAAACAGAGTTTAGTTTAATGCTGTGCATTATGACAAAATGTAGCTGAAATAATAAACCGTCATTTTTTTGAGAGGTCATTATCATCGTTATTTTTAAGGATAGCCAAAAAAATTGGTATGTTCTACTTTTCCATACTTACAAAGAACAAAACCTCTAAAACAGACTATACTCTCTCGGATGAAAGGCACCGATGGCTCTATACCCAGACCTGAGTCTGCATTTTTGCCTTCTAGACCTCTCTGCCTCAGACCTTTATTGTACAAGTTGACCGTGGTGACTTCACACCTCATGAAGCCAGTGAAGGGTGCACTCAGAGCATCATAAAACCCCAGCCTGGCAGTGTCAGGGAGGAGCTAGGATTTTTCAGACAAAAAACTGGATATCACCCTGCCATGAAAAATATGCATCAAATTTAATACTATAAAACATTATTTTGGGGAGGGGAGAGTCCTGTGAAAAGGCCTGAGGTGTTTACAGTGTGAGTTATGCTCTCGCTCATTCTTGTTTAATGCGGAGTTTGGGGAATATTCTGAGGGCGTTTCATGGTGACATTTTGTGATGTGTTCCGCA